GTTTTATTATTATTATTTTTATTTCAAGTTTTCCTACAACTGAAAAAAGGAAGAACGAATGGTTGGAAATCATAGGACTGCCGAATATAAACGTTGGATCAAAGACCATCTTAAATTATTTAAATACAATTATTTTATTCCGTCATGAATAATTTTAGTATTTTTTACCCGACTGCGTCAGAAGGTGGGTTATGTTCTTTGAGTGTATGTTTGTTCATTTCTTTTTCACCCTGTACAGCCTAAATGGCATGATGGATTTTGACATGTGAGGTGTCGTTAGATTCGTCTTGATTGGTGGGAGTGTCATAGGTTTATCTCTTTTCAGTTATTTATTTGCAGTCGAGGTTTTTTTTAATAATTTGGTTTTTGTAAATCTATATACATATTTAAAGGAGTACGGTCCGGAGCAATTCACTGGTAGATGGACGCATAGCAAAAACTGTAAGTACTAGAACATGATAACTTGAGGGTATGTTAATTTTATTTAGTGAAGGAGTACTAACAACGGATTTTTCAAAATTCATCCCCTCAGAGGGCGAAAAAGGATAAAAACGTTTGCATGAAAAATAATATTCCTTGAAATTACCAAGACGAAACTTAGCATAAATATTTTACAATAAAAATGGTAAAAAAATGGCATAACAGTTTTTTAAAAATGCGGCGAAATGGGGTAATAAAGTTTGTATGGAAACTTTTTAACGCGTGGTGCGATTTGCTTCATACTTGAATATTTTTCATTTGTATAAAAATTGTACACGGACGAAGTCGTGGGGAAAAGCTAGTACATGATAATTGTTGATTTCCGATAATTGATTTTTACAACTACTTCCATTATTACTGTGTTAAAATTGCTTGATAGATTCATTTGCTTAAGAAAGCCCGGAAATTAACGGGAATGCTAGAATCCGCAGAAACCTGAATAGACTTGTATTTGTCAGTTGGTTAAAAGACGTTACGTACATATGTACTAAAATGTAGGTTAAAGACGTACATCTTAAAGTAATTTTTATATTTTATTTAGTAAGTACAATTAATAAACCTACGACGACGGAGGACGAAACTTGTTTACAACGCAACGGAGTAAGTTGCATTAAACAGAGCAAACGTGTGATCGGCGATGTGCCGGTTGTCAAATAGCGTCCCCACCCCTCCCGTGCGTCAGTCCGCGCATCTTTCTTTTCATCTAACCCGACTCGGAGCGAACGAGTTTTATAATTTTATTTATTACGTAATTACGTCACCACACTGTAAACGCACACAGTAGGTATATTTATATATTTGATATATTTAAGTACCTTTGCGATCTACAATATAACACACAGCATTAACACAACGTACAAAGAACACACACGCAATTATTTAATCAGTTCATTTCAGTTTATTTTATTTTGCGACACACACGTCCGTCACTCATCTCAGCTCAGGGCTCATTGAAAACCAGCTCCACAGTCATATGCGACTGTGGCATAAGCTGAATGAAGTCCTTTTGTGTACGCCACAACCGCACACATGACAGTACAACATTTGTAGTTGTTATATTTAGTATTTTTCTGTTTTGCTCTTTGTTTGTTATTGTCTTATTTTATTTTATTTTAATTTTGTTAATTACGTCTTTTTGTTTTGTTTCGCTTGTCTAAGTGGTATCAATATTTTTATTTTTTTTGTATCTATGTGTTGTGGCGTTGCAATAAATGTCTATTCTATTCTATTCTAATACTATGTAATGTTATATACCAGTAAAGTAGGTATAATTAAGTAAGAATGTCGCCAACAAACTGCACAGCAGTTTGGTGATTTTTACTAAATATGTTACCAGTTGTAGTCTTGAAAATATATTTTTTTAAAGTTTAAAAATGTCTGTTGACATTTATAATAATATACCACTCGAGATTAAATTATTAGACTTGTGTTTGTTTAGGCATACTTTGGTTACAGTAAACTAAAGAAACAAAAAAAAACAGTTTCAACATTCAAGCCATACATTTGCATGTCGATAATGACTTATCGATAGATTATGCTACAACATTAAAGAAATCCGCCATTTGTAACTTTCAAATTTTGGTTATATGCACGTTGATTCTGTAGTTAGGGAGCGTAAGACTTTAACCGATCATAATGACAATTAGGTTCGATACGTTCGTTAAGTTTCGTTAAGATTCGATATTCTTATCGGCTCTTCGAGGTCACATTGTTTACGTTGGTATTCTTAACGACGCGCTTCCTTCTTACATTTCACTGTTAGATATTTGTGTTTTGATCGCATTAAGTGCAAAAAAATCACTTTTTGCCTTAAGGTAAGCCAAAATGCTTAGTAATTGAAAGGGACTTGTTCTTGGCTGTGTCTTGTAATCACTTGTTTATGTCGTGATGCCGCGATTGTAGAGGTTAAGGCGAGCGACGTTTTCTTAGTATATTCTCATCTTACCAGATATTTAGCTTAGAAAATGGAAAAAAAATAAGGTAAATACTTACAGAACTCCAATTTGCTTACTTGTCGTGATGTATTATTTTATCCGTAATTTTGCAGAAGTATTCAGAAAAAATAAACACAAACAGTCAAGTTTCCCTGGAATGTAACAAACGTTGCACAAACTAAATAACCTTAAGAGAGTTTGTAAATAACTATTTGAATGCTCGATCATGTTGGTCGAGAAACAATGCCTCCCGTCGGAATGTTCCCATTTTAGTATATTTTTCGATAATGTAACGCTGTCGGTACGCGTCGGTTGCAGTAACGATTTTCGTTATCGTGGATTTACAGAATAGCATAATCGGTAAGTTATCGATACCGCAACCGACGACTTTCGCTATCAGAGCCAACCGAATCATAACGATAGCCACTACAGAATCTCTATTTCAAAATCATTCGTTCAAATCGCATTAACCGTATTTTTTTTATCTATGCTGACTTTGTGCAAGGAAGTCATAATGTTGCCATTTTATATAAAATTTGCAAAGATTATACAAAAATATGAAAATCACTAACTTAACCTAGGCTTATTTAGTTAATTTATTTTTAGGATTGAATAGAGAACTAGTTAAATTCATGACTGGCTTCAAATAACGAAAAAAAAACACAAATGTTTTGCGCGACCCGATCAGCGCACTCATTTTATATTGGTTATAGAGCTCCGCATATTATCAAAATAGTGTTGAAGCGATTATAATGCTTAAATTATTAATATAAAGTGTAGGTAATACATTGCATTGTTAAATACTTATATTACTAAGATAATAAGAAACAGATTTTTTCATTAGTATGCCAAATAAAATATTTTTACTTAAATACTTAACACCAATGGTTACATACTTGAAAACCATTTTTGATAAATATACGATATTCTTGCCAGCTTAATTTTCTGTTTGCAGTTTGCTTTTAATTAATTGCCAACACTATTTACGTGACGTCAAAAATTACTCACGGATTGAATCGAATTTTAAGCTGTTTTTATTTAGTTTCGGTTGGAAACCGTCGTTTCTTGTTGAGGAAAAACGTTAGAACACACGTAAGTATGCATATTTACTCAGATATTAGCAGTATTTTTGGAATTTTAAACAGATGGAGTGATGTTGAAAATGCACATCCATAAATGGAATTCTTGTAATGACACCGTGTGGCCTAAATATCATTTTGTACAGAAAGGCAGTTTGCTAACACTTGCATGAGTCACTTTCTCGTTAGTAGACGCGGACGACGATCGGTTGAAAGACATTGCGTGTTCGTTAGAATTTTATTTATAAACTAATCATAGTTTGGTTATCGAGCCCCCTTTGTTTAGTTTGTCTTACCACCGCTTACGGAACACTTCTAAACGCATAGCTCTTCATAAAGGTACATATTTAGCAATAAGTTACTCATAGAAATGCACACATTCATTTGAAACTAAGAATTTTCTCTGAGCAATGCCTGATTCATTATTATAATTTCTTTACGTTTTTACTAGCAAGAAGGCGCATGCATCTCGTTATATCATGAATGCATGTGTAAGTGTTATTTCAATTGGAACTAACAGATGGTGCATACTTATAAGTTATAAGATGTTGCCACTGCTGTTGCTTTCTTTAAGTATCTTTTTGTCTACTTACTATTTTTCAAGTGTTTAGAGACAGCCAAACAGGCGATTTATAGATGTATACAAATAGTCACTATTATAAACAGTGTGCACATAGGGTGAGGTACAAATTCCACTAAGAATTTTTACACATTTGAAGAGAAAGTACAATTTGGGAGGTCCCATGGTTACAGGTAAAAGAGAGCCTGACATATTTGTTTGTTTGAAAAACTTAATATACATGATTTTAAATTAGAAAAAATAGTTTCACTACCAATGTGTAGCAGTCTTTAGTTTTAGGTGTGGCCAAAATTTATCTATGCAGTGCATGGCCATATGGTAAAAGTGTAGCTATGGTCAAATTATATTTATTTAGTGCTGTCTCAACTTATAGAGATATTACCTTGGAGCATTACATATAGAAAATCTTTTTCTTTTTGTGGAATTAGCTGTTTTGGACTGAAGAAGTACAAACTATAAATAATGTTTTTGATGTTTTGTATGTACAGAGTGCATTGAGACCAAAACTTGGAATGATAAAATGTAAATAAGTATTTCAAGCATGTAGACTGTATTTAAACGGTTATCTAAGTGTAATAAAATGTCCTTGACTTTGTTTTTGCCGGCTACGTGCGTATTGATGCCATAGGCCTTGTGCAGTTGCATACTTTTTTAAAAATTGATTGCATGACCTTGGATTCATGTACTTCATTCGAAATATCAGAAATAATGAACATCAAAAGAAATATGAAACAGTAGCATAGTTGTAGATTAAAATTATTATTATTTTTTCTGTACATTTGAATGAATTAAAAATACAGGCTTACAATTGCATTCAAAATGTTGTTGCCAGGAAATAGAAATATGAGAAATATAAATACTCCGGACATTAATAAATTCGTGAGTAATTTACATGGGAAATAATATTTTTAGTAATGTGTTGTTATGACAATTACAGTAATGAAATTCTTGTTGATGGAACTGTGTTATGATCAGTGCTTGGAGGAGGTAGAGTCACTTTTTTTTCTTGCAACATTATGGTCATACTGTGGCAATTCAATAAATTATTATTAAATACTCTCAGCATTTGGAAATGAGCAAGCTATCGGTGCAATAAATGTTAAAAATGGAAAGATATAAAAAACTAGATAGTGCCCGTGATTTCATGTGTGTATAATTGAGTATTTTGAGTAAGGCTACTCATGAGTAGACCTCATCCCCTATTTTACATTGACAGGTAATAGGTCAAAAATGCTGAAACATTGTGTATTTCTTACAACAGTCATAGATATGAATTTTCAGATCCCTTACTTGAGCAATTACTGGTCCGTACAAACTTTCTTCCCATGTTTTCTCTCCATTTAAAATTTGTTTTTGTGACAAAAAGTAGTTTATAATGTCTTTCTTCTAGGTCCCAGCTATCTCTATACAAATTTAATAAAAATTTATCCAGTGGTTTAGGCATGAAAACGTAACAGACAGAGTTACTTTCACATTTATAATATTAGTTGGGATACCAAATGAGCCAAATAAGGCATGAGATGCTTTGACATAATGCAACAAATCTCTTAAAAGTCGTTCTCGCTTTCTATTCTTAACAGTGTAGCCTTCAGAAAACTTATGAACTTTGGTCACACTAGCTGTAGCAAGATAGCACACTATGGTAAAATCCGAGAATCCCTTATTAAATTTGACGTCATTGACCCAAAATAGCTCTATTAGAATCAGTGAGCTTCATAACCATGCAGGTTTGAGTACACCAAAAGCACTATATAGTGCCAGGTGGTTTTACTATCCACAAGGCCTTAATTCGTCTAAATTTATCATTACACAAGCAGGTTTTAGTAAACTATTAAATATAAAAACTAATTAATCTGTGTGGCATTTTCTTTTAATTAATACATCTTTTACAAATCTGTTATAGGCAGTATAAAAGCCAAATAAAGAAATTCATATGTGTATAACATTGAGTAGAAAAATAAATTAAAAGTAGTAAAAAATAACAGTATTTATATTAATATTGCAGACACACTCATAGCCCCGCACTAGGGAAAACCAGTATCGCGGGAGCCATGGACACACACATAGACGACCCCGAATATACACCCAAACTCACTAGAGAAATAAATGTAGGCCATACAAATGTTTCTCCCGACACGGGAATCGAACCCGAGACCTGTTGCGTGGCAGTCCACCATTGTAACCGTACGGCCACAGAGGCAGTTAAAAGTAAATTAAAATATTGCTCTCACTAGTCTAATTAGGTTAGTTGTGATTATGGAGTATTCACCTTTAGTTGGTTTCCACTATTCTTAATTTTTTTTTAAATCGACCAAAAGCTACTCTCAAATTCTCCTTCCGCGACACAGACACCACTGTAGCCACTGCAGTGTTTCTATAAGCGTCTAAGTTGAAGGCATCCTTACTGGTAGGTAGTAGGTAAAAGTCATAATACTGAATGAACTATATTGGAGCATTTTTTTTGTTAAATTTAAGATATCCAAAAATGTCGTCACGCAAGACAGCTGGTCGTCGCGGGACGAACAAGAAGCGCGCCCAGCGAGCGACTTCCAACGTGTTTGCGATGTTTGATCAAGCTCAAATCGCAGAATTCAAAGAGGCCTTCAACATGATTGACCAGAACCGAGATGGGTTTGTTGACAAGGACGACCTGCATGACATGTTGGCATCACTTGGTGAGTAGTCAGTTAAGGAGTACTTGTAATATTTTTGACTGTCTTGTGATCTAATAATAATCTAACTGCGTACTACTAAAAATGCGTTTTTAAAGTGCTGCTACTTAATATTATCTATTCACCAAGTATTTTTTACTTTTAACCGATTTTAAAAGAAGGAGGAGGTTCTCAATTCCACTGCATTTTTTGTGTGTGTATGTTGCACGATTACTCCGACGCTGAGCTATGGCCTTTTTGCACTGCTATTGCATATATTCACGGCTGGGCGTGAGGTAGTGCTGCGACTCTGTTGTTTTTTTTCTTCATTTTATTATATTACATATTTTTCTGTTATGTTTGTGTGTCTATAGATCCAAATAAACGTTTATCTATCCTACTCCGTCATTTGTAGTTGGACTTCGGTGATTATATTTTTGTTGGAAAGGGGGTAGGTACCTCGGTAGTAGTCCCATTCAAATTTGAAGGAAATATTCCACCTCTAAGGGTGGAAAATTAGGGGATGAATCTTTTCGTTAACCGATTTCAATAAAACTTGGCAAACTTTTATGAAATATTTCCGCAAACTTTTGAGGTCAATTTTTTCTTTATAAAAAAGTTATGATTTAAATTAGTTTAGAATCGGACCACACATAAACAGATATCTGCAAGCTATCTGCAAATTGAATATATATTAATTACTCTATGTCGCTATTGTATATTATGATAATGTACAGGGTGGAAACTTCAGATCGTTTAGCAAAGGATATGGTAAAGTTTTTTGCGATTTCTGACATTTCTAGTAGTCCTACCGCAGTTGATCTCACAGACTTGATTCTTACCAGAAATGGGACATAATATGGCATGTGCAGTTTCGTGAAAATTGTCTTTTATCTTGCTGACTGTACCATTTTTTCAAAATCTGTAAATGTCAATCGAAATAATCAAAATTCGTGGAAAGTCTCTAGGATCGTTCTCCTGTAGCTATGACAGTTAAGGTAGCCCTTTATAGTTACACATCAAAACACACTTTCTGCTTTCCTATAAAAGTTGCAATTTGCAGATTGAATATTGTGCATAGGTGCTGTCATTTTAATTGATTTACACATTTATTTAGAGGACATCTATGACCAGCTACTGCTAGAATATAAATAAACCTCTTTGAAAACAATGATGAAAAAAAGAAACCAATGATATACAGTACTAAGGAGGTATACATTATGTTATAGGACAAATGAAATGTGAATGTTACGACAAATAATAAATAATAAGTATATAAATATTAGACAACATCATATATGTTGCTCTTAGGGGTCTACTTCCGTTCTCTGTCCAAAACAATTACTATCACAAGTAATACTTGACCAAATCTAAACACAATATCAAGTATGAAGCTACATTCGCATCATGCGTCTTTTTAACCGACTTCAAAAGAAGAAGGAGGTTCTCAATTCAGCTGTATGTTCTTTTTTTTTGTATGTAACGCCATAACTCCGGTATTTGTGAACCGATTTTCATGATTATTTTTTTGTTGGAAAGAGGGTACCTTAATAGTGGTCGCATTTCATTTTTAAAAGAAAATCATCCACCTCTAAGGGTGGCTGATCACGCATGAACATTAATTTTTATTAGCGCCTAAATTTTACTTAAGGAGCAATTACTTTAATGGTTGGTTTTGCTATTCTCCAATTCAAGGCGTTTTTCTCTGTCAATATACTTTGAGTAGTGAGAACTGATTTTTATTATGTCCTGTGTCAAGTCCTGTATAGTGGCGAACTAGGGGATATTTCAATAAAACTTGGCAAAAAGATGTAATTCCACGTACTTTTGAGGTCGGTTTTTTTGGTACTCTGTACTGAGATTATAATTTGATCGAATGTTGCTTATTTGACAGTAATTGTTTCGGATGGATGTCATACGGAGAACTAGAGTTCAGGGCCTGATCCCAAAGTAAGTAACTAAAGCACTTGTCTTATGGAAATCTGAAACAACGACGGTAGTACAAACACCTAGACCCGATACAATATAGGAAAGTTGGTTTTTGTATATTGAGCAGACCGGGGATCAAACAACCTGGGACCTCAGAGTCGGCGACGCGATGAAAACCGGTGTGTAAGCCACTTTACCACGAAAGTCAAATGCTTGTACGTTTATGTACTTCGTCCTACTTCTCTTTCTTCAACCTGAATGTAAGGGCGCGTTCCCACTATGTCGTGACGACAGATTGTCGTGCAGTTTACTGTGTCGTGGCTTGTATTTATATTTAAATGAAGTTGTTCACATAAAGTACGACACGATTAACCTTCGTTCACGATTTTTTATCATTACAACGACAAACTGTCGTCACAGTGCGAACAGCTAGAACGACGGTCGTCTGACGATAAAAACGTGACGACAGATTGTCGCAGCTCCTATTGTCGTGACGTTTTATTTATTGCTGTCCGCACGTATTCTGCTCCCTGTCCTCCCCTCTGGTACCCCGCGCCCTCTGCTTGCTTTGCAGTAGCGTTGGGTCGCAGCCAGAGATGGGCAAGCGCCCGTGTTTTAACCCGGCGCTTTGTTAACGCCGGGTTTAAATCGGGTTAAAACCCGAAATCGAGGGCAAAAACTAGTTACGTCTAAATATTTGTTGTGAATTGAGTTTTGTTCAAATTTAATTATACATTGTGTTTTCTTTTGTAATGTACTCTGCAATTCGCGTTAATAGACTATTAAATGTGGAAATTGTCATTCTTGAATAGTCCCAAAATTTTCTATCAACACTTTTCAGTTCATCAATAAACGTTTGACATAACCCTAATGGAATTCATTTTAGTAGCATTGAATGTACCCAAAACTTTATTTTCTTTGTTTGATTCCTCTTCCGCAATTTAAAAAGTAATACATTATTAAAATTTCGTCTTCATCCATTTCGAGCGAACACACACTACCGGTTTCCAAAAGAACATACAAGCGCTTGCAATGCATCAAACGATTCTCTCGTGCAATCGACAAGGAGGCTGTCGTGAAACGATAAATTGTCGTCACGATCTAGTGGGAACAGCTAGTCACGACAGTCGTTCAACGATAAAAAATCGTCCACGACAGATAGTCGTGATATGGGAACAGGCTAGACACGACAGTCGTCCAAAGATAATAAAACGTGACGACATAGTGGGAACGCGCCCTTACATTATAATTCGATTTTTCTTACAGGTAAGAACCCAACGGAAGAGTATTTGGAAAGTATGATGAATGAAGCTCCAGGGCCCATCAACTTCACCATGTTCCTTACTCTGTTCGGCGAGCGGCTGCAGGGTACCGACCCTGAGGACGTCATCAAGAATGCATTTGGGTAAGTTATGTTGACATATAAATATATCTTTTAGGATTAAGAACTTCAGACCCCCGGTTGCAACACTTTAGATGAGAATAATAATAATTTAATCATTTCTTAATAATTTCAACTATTTAATAAAATCCAAGTCCAAGATTTGGAATATCATGCACATGTATTGCATCTTGACAAAATAGGAAACAAACAAAAAACTTTTTCCAAAATGTTTTTTCTGGTGTTTTGCTTTATTTATTTGTTAATCTTTTTCTCTGTGTTTTGTACCTAACAAATACACGGCTTATCTGTTTATCTACAGCAAAATTGTAAAGGTAAAAATTACTCTATAATAATCATAAAAATCAAAAAAATAAACTGTGTATCAAATTATAAAATTGCACGAACTTATTGTCAAAAAGTAAAAATCAGGCAATTTAAGTATAAAGGACAGGAAATATAAGAACAATCAGAGGGTGATATCATAAATATAAGTAAAATTTTATATAAAGATATTTTTATTATTTCCAATACTGTTTTCACGAAATAATCTTGGTTTCTCTTAGTTGTTTCGATGAAGAGAACAACGGAGTAATTCACGAGGAGCGACTCCGCGAGCTTCTTACCACGATGGGTGACCGGTTCACCGATGACGACGTCGACGAGATGCTCCGAGAAGCACCGATCAGAGACGGGATTTTCGACTACGTCGAGTTCACCCGTATTCTTAAGCACGGCGCTCATGACAAAGATGAGCAGTAAACAGGTTATTTGGTTCACTTTTGTTTTCATTTTAAGTTAGGAAGATTTAAAAACTGAATAATACCATAACATTGTTCCTTACTACACTAACTTTAACGTTTGATAGAAGTTCTTAATATCTTTCACACAATTATTACACCACGCGATTTCAAGGGCCCTGCGTCAACAGTGGGCGTGGACCCTAATTAGGGCGCCGTTCTTATTAACGTATAAGTTGCCCAAATTAGGGACCCTAACTGATTAACATTATAATTATTATTACATCTGTCTAAATTAGGTTTAGGGTCTCTTGAAATCCGTTAGTGTAATAAGCGTTTTACTGAAAAAAATCATAATGTTTATTGTGGCAGTGCTATTTTATAGATTTGCAAGTTGCTTCGTCCAAAAATTTTTTTTTAAAGAAATCACGGGCTGATGTCACTTGTCGGGAGGACAATAATTGTCTTGTGATATTTGTTGTTTCTATTATCAATTGACTGGTTTTTATTGTACAATAAGTGTAAAATCCAATACTGCGACGACACCACGTCATTTATCTCGAATACCCCATCAACATACTTCCAAAATGTCGGCCATGTCATAAAACTCCTTACTGGCAAAATGGCTCCCCCAATCTGAAGTAGATAAAGTTGCCATACGAAACAAATACACTAACGTATGTAACTTACAATTTTAATCATAAATGAATTTACATCAGTACATACAATAGGAAATGCTGTATCAAATTCTATAAATATAAAAAAAGTTCGTCATAATTCTGCCTAATTCGTACGATTTATGATACTTACATTTATGTATATAACCGACATAATTACGGATAATTAAAAAAAATGGTTTCTAAGCACATGTACTAGAGTTTAAATTTATATTATATTTATGAAGAAGTGGCAGCAGGAATATTATGTATTCTAAAATGAATATCGGCTAATCATCATGAATCAAAAGTGAACAAATAATTTATTGCCATAGGTTGGAAGACCTGAATGATGTGAGCTTACCTCTACATTTACACAGAGATATGGTCAAAGTGAATCTTCCAGATGATTTACGATTCTCGTCCACATTTTTATTTACAATAGAGATAGCCCCAAATTGCTGAACTACATAGAAAAAGAAAATAGTGAAAATGTAGGTTAATAAAAGTCATCTCGTCAATCTGTTTATTAAAAAAAAAATAGATTTTAGACTTTGTTGCCTAACTAATTGGTTAAGATAGCAAATCATTGTAGAAGCTAAGTTTATAAATGGATTCTAAAGCAATCACCTAAAAATATAGATGAAAATATTGAAGTCCATTGCATTTTTTTATAATTCCATTTATTTCAACGACAAAAACCTTATTGTCTGAGAAAAAATAAATGGTGTTTTTATCACGGTGTATTTTTTCTCAGAGTAACACGTTTTTCACAAAGTAAGTTTTTAAGTTATGAAAATTGGAATCGGGATGAAAACATTACAACGAAATATATTCTTTGAATTACAGCATAGCATTTGAAATGAAGTTACAAATATCTTGCACCTGATATCTTGACTATTCTGAATAAAAAGCGAGTACTGAATTAAGTTTCCACGTAGTTATGACAAATATGTTGTAATACATTATAGCATATTTGTCGTAACTACTAATGCTCTATTGGGTCTATTAAAATTAACGGTAACCGCCTTGAAGTAAAATTTGGAGTTCCTTTAAGAAAGAATCTATCCACCAACTGAGGAGGATACAAGGAAACATAAACACAAGGAAATTATCCTATTTTTGAAGTTGGTTTTTAAATACATCATCATTATTGTGGCCCTTTGAGCGTCCATGTTTGGACGTATCTCCTTCTTTCCGGAGTATTGTGCCAACCTAACCCGGCCCCCGTATCATCGGAGGTCATCGACCTATAGTCTGACTGGTCGGTTCGTCACCGGGCGTTTGCACGGTCTCCAGAAAAGACTGGAAGTTTAAAAATACGCCTCATTATTTTCACACGTTTAGTGTTTAAAATGGTCAGAATATTATGTCGCACTTTTTAAGAGACAATTGTGTCAAATTATGAACTAATTATTAGTAGTAAGATTAAAATTCTTCACTAAGTATTATCGCAATAAATTATAACGGTAGAGATGTAATCATGTATGTATTTATTTTGTCATTTTTGCATAAAGTATGTTTAACAATATATTTTTGTGTTTTATTTATATCACGTGTTGACTAGTTCGTTTTTTTGCCCATAATTAATGGATTAATTAATCTCGTCGACAGCTAACGTTGACGGGTCAGAGCTAATTATAATTAGTTCAAGATTTGGAGCATCGCAATATTGAGGAATATCTAGTCTTAGGCCCGAATTGATGACAATAGTAATTACTAGGGAGGTTATTTCGAGAACCACAGCTCCTAGCTTGGATCTTATTGCACCCAGAAATCGTTGCGAATTAGTCGGTTCTATTTAGATTTTTTTAGAATTAAATAACAAATCGGTAGTATCTTCTAAACAAAGGAGCGACTAATTCTAAGGCTCAATTTATATCGCGGTGGAACGGAATGGAAGGGAATTTTTGTAACGATACTGTACATTGTGTAATGTGATCAATTGTCGCTTCCGCGGAATTTTCGTACAATACTCGCGCATTCGCGAGAAGTCCGCGAAAGATTTTGGCTCGTATCTAGTTTGTATGTTACACAATTGACCATAAAGTTCATTATGTTATGTGCAGTGTCGTTACAAAAATTCGCTTCCATTCAATTCCGCCGCAATATAAATTGAGCCAAACTTGTACTCGAGAATGAGAAATGGTGTCGCTGGATTAAGCTTATTCCACCATGGACAGCAAAACTCTTATGACTTTTGAAAGGTGGACGGACTAAATGTAGACTTTTACGACCAGAACCGAAAAAATCCCGACTTTTTTAGTGTAGTTAGATCTAAGCTAGGTGCTGAGGTTATCGAGATTGAATAATGGTGCCGCTGGATTATTCCCGGGTAGACAGTAAAACACCACCCTTATAGTGTTTTACATCCTTTAGTTTTTGCGACTAGAACTGACTAAATGCCGAATTTTTGCCTGAATAATTAAATTTAAAAAACTCAACCATGGTCATGCTGGAATAAGGCACGCGACGGGACCGCACGGTAGGGGACTTTTAGGTGACGAATAGTAATATACCTTAACGTTATGTATGATATTATAGGTGAAATTTCAATGGTAATGGTTATAGCTACGAGTAGAGTAGGGTTGGGTCATGGAAAAAATTCCATTTAGAAAAAAAAAATTTCAGAAAAATATTTTCTTCATTATTCTACGTTGGACGTTGACACCTGTCAAATGTTGAAGTTAGTGAACGATATTTTTTAATCACGTTTTTCGTTAAGTGCCTTTTTTCCAAATTATATTTATCCAATTTTCCGGGGTTATTTTCCGGAAAAGTTTCCACTATTTGAAATTTTCCGGAAAATTACCCAACAGTAGCTAAGAGTATAATTTAAGTTTTCTAAGTGTACTTAATGCACAAATAGTTAATTATTTTTTGGCGTTATGTCCGCAATTATTTAATTTTAGCAGCAGAAGAGCTTCTTTTGAAAGAGTACATCCAAGGAAGTACTGCTACCTTATCTATTTCTGCAGCCAAGCAGTACTTGCTCTTCCCGTCACTTGGCATGAAAAAGCCCTGCTTTTGATTATTTATGGTTGATACCGTTTAGAAAACAAATTTAATATCCTTACTGTGCTGTCTGTGGCGCACTACCAAGTGGAATCCAACCCTAACATTCCGCAACGTGGCGGAAATCCCAACTAATTTTCAACTCTTACATAGTTTATTTATCAGAAAGTTTATGAAAGAAGAAGAATATATATGGTGGAGTTTATACACGTAGATGTAGACTGATAGCCTTCTATGAATTCTTTTTGTTAGTGTGCCTTATTTCAGCGTGACCATGGTCGAGTTTTTGAAATTTGACTAGCCAGAAAAAAGTCGCTATTTAGTCGGTTCTAGTCGCAAAAAACTAGATTTAGTCGGTCCGCCGTGCAAAAGTTATAAGGGTGTTTTACTGTCCACTGTATTTCAGCGTGGACAGTAAAACACCTTAATAACTTCAAAACGGCGTAACGACTAAATCTAGTTTTTTACAACTTGAACCGACTAAATCACGACTTTTTTAGTGCAATCAGATCTAAGCTAGGTGTTGCGGTTCTCGAGATTGAGAAATGGTGCCGCTGGAATAAGCTTATTCCAGAGTGGACAGTAAAACAGCCTTATAACTTTTGAACGGCGGACCGACTAAATCTATTTTTTGCGACTAGAACCGACTAAATAGCGACTTTTTCTGGCTAGTCAAATTTAAAAAACTCGAACATGGTCACGCTGGAATAAGGTACACTTTTTGTTAGCCCCTGTCGACATTACGAAGCCCATTGTTCCTTAATCAGAACAGCTCCTTTCTCTGCGACCAGCATAATGGCACCTTGAGGGTTTCCACTCGGCTGAGTCGGCATTGATGATGCGTCGATGACTCGTAAACCTGTAAGGCAAATATAACAACATGGAAAACTAGTAAGTTTCAGTTTTTGCATATAACAAATAAAGTTAGAGCCAAGGAACGCCTTGATTTAGTTGGCAAAGCGTCTAGCACGGTTTGCTGGAAGACGTTGGTTCGAATCCAGCCGGGTCGAGAATTTTTTTCTAAGTGTTCGATTCTATTAACAAAGGTAAGTTTTTTTAAATAAACAGTTTCAATTTATTTATTTTTAATTAAATCAATGTGCTCCAATTTATCGAATGACGATTCCTCAAATTCCGCGCGTACTTTATGTTAGCACGTACCTAGAGTCTTGACTTTGACAAGAAATTAGTGACAAGTCAAAGGTAATTAACCCCTTTGTTTGGCATAGCATCTGTCACGGCTTGCTAGGAGACGTCGGTTCGAATCCGGCAGGATCGAAGGATTTTTCTCTAAGTGTTCGATCTTTGTATTAAATGATTAATAATTATCATATCATGGTGAACAAACCTCGTGACATTCAATGAAGTTATAAATAAAAGTTATGATATTTTTTCTTAAAAAAATTACTTTAAATCGCTCTACTGTAATATCTTCCGAATGCACGTTAGACGTTTTACTTTTCCAGCGTCGATAAATGTAGGTATACATCTCAATAGGTTGTCGTTGTCAGTTATTATTTTATTTCACCCTTTTGCGTTAATAAAAAATAATATAGTGGAAACAATGAGTGGAAAGCTATAAGTAAGGTGTTAAATAACCTAACCTCCGGTTAAAAAAATCGACCTCAAAAGTCACTCATCCCCTAGTTTGCCACCCTTAGAGGTGGAATATTTTTTGAAATTTAAATGGGACCACATCCGAGGTACCTTCTTTCCACAAAAAAAAGAATCATCAAAATTGGTTCACAAATGGCGGAGTTATCGCGTAACATACAAAAAAAAAAGAAAAAACATACAGACGAATTGAGAACCGAATTAGCAAAAGAGATTTTTATAGATAAGGATATCGCCAAGGCGACTTATGTGAAGCAAGCTTCTCGCCCAACCTGATGGATCAATAATAAATAAGCATGCTTAAACATTTCTCGCGTACCTGAAACACCATAAACCTTGAGTTCAGGATCGATGACCATTCCCATAGCAGCGGTGCCGAGCTGGTGGTTCTGCGCGTCCGTATGCAGACGCGTCATGCACTCGATCCACGCATCTGACCATTCCTTTGACGAGTCGCAGCCTTGTGTGTATTCCGGGTCCAAGATCACCCCGTATTTGTTCTTCATCGTCTGTGTATAAAGAAGACAATTGATATTTTGATATTAGGGGTGTTTTTGGGAGCGTATTTATGTTGTTGTTATTGTATTGGTTTTTTTGCAGACTCTTTTTTCCTTTGTTTTATTATTATTTATTTATTGAGCATTGACTTTAGAGCCCACGTGCTAAAACAGGTAACAATTAATTAAGAAACTCAAAACGTAATACTACTGTAATTACAAAAACACGTATTTTTTTGTGACTCTTGGTTTTTGTTGGGCTGTTTTCTGGGCAAATTATGTTTTTTATATAATTATTAATACAAATATCGAACGCTTAGAAAAAATCCTTCGATCAGGCCGGATTCGAACCGACGTCTTCTAGCAAACCGTGGCAGACGCTATGCCAATTAAGCCACGGAACGACCCAGCGGACCTCACGAATTTTTCTATGTGCTTGTTGTCGGATCTTTTGTATTTGGTTTTCAACGACTTTTTAGCCGTAACGCCGTCATATATATCATATATATAAGAAATCTATGAAAGTATCTCGTCGCCCAGTTAGGTAATTTTACATGTTTTTTTATAGTTCTCTTAAAGTGGTAAGTTTCAAAAACAGGGAATTTCTACCAAATATACCTAAGGCTGTGCCTACAACACGGAAGGTAATCATTGATCACTTCATTTTCCAAGCTGAATCCTATATAGGCATCACTCTCAAAAATCTTCTGCAAATACTAATACTTTACCTTCCGCGTTCTTTTTTGTTTTGGTTATCGTTGAGCTATTTTTGTGGGCACATATTTTTTTATAATAATAATAATAATAATAATCTTTTAGGCATTGGGAGAGGCGAGAGTCTAAAATAGATATAATAATAATAACGCACACATCAACATAGCCTCTAGGGAAACCCTGTGTCGCGGGTGCCATGGACACACATAGAAACCACAAATTACACCCGAACTCACAAGAAATAAACATAGGCCATACGGACTCGGATTTTTTACTTTTGGCGGAAATTGACCAGGGTGTACCTCATAAAAATGCACAAATATTCCCTCCATATATTATAGTTTTTGCAGGCCGTAGCTTTATATATATAACTAGATGGCGCGCGTTGCGCCGGGCCGCTAAAGCGGTTCGCGAGGGCTTTCTTTGAGACTCGTGTGACAGGCTGGGAGTTACATTTCATATTTCAGTAGAGAATCCTGTTGGGTTGAGTTTGGGTGGTAGGGAGCAGGGTGACCGCTTCAGTTTAGTTGGCATGATCGCGTCAAGTCGTATCCTTAAATATCTCAGAACAAACCACTCGTATGTCATTGACAATTGCGAAGATTCAGAAAAGTCAATTGTTTAAGTCAATTTGCCAGATCAAAAAATTTTTGATTCCGGTAGAACCCGACTAATGTCCTTGACTACTTTTGTTTGAGAGCCATGTGCTCATTGCCGACACTTTGGCGGGTAGCCTCTGTATTACTTGATGCGGAGCACCATTCCAAGATTTCTGTAATCACCACTGTCCCGTATATTATTCTAAACGATCTCTGTCCCTTCTTGGAGAACAATTACCTAAATGTCAGTGGTAATCTAGCTACCTACGTATAATATGTTGCGCGTTGCGCTGGACCGCTAAAGCGGCTCGCGAGGGCTTTGTGTTAGGATTGATTGTTTGCTATTAGTTTTTGTTCCTGATGATTTCTTTTTGGTTACATTTCGTTGGGTAGAAGGGCGCAGGGTAGTTGTATGATCGCGTCAAGTCGTATCCTAATATACTTCAGAAGACACCACTTATAGTTGCATGGATTCAGCAAACTCAATTTTTTATGGCGGCCATCTTGAATACGCCATATTAGAAAATTTTTGGTCCCGATAGAACCTGACCAGGGTCCTTGACAAGTTTTGTTTGAAAGCCATACACCTATCTCTGATGCTTTGACTGGGCCGTTTACCACGGCGATCAGGTCGACTTGAATGTACCATGTTGCGCTGGGCCGCTGAAGCGACCCGCGAGGGCTATGAATGCGGCTTGTGACTATAATTTGAAAGACTTCGTCCGTCGGTTGGTGATTAATTTGGTCTCATTGGTGATTTTTTTCGTCCGGTTTATTTGGGTGAGAGGGAGCCAGGTAGTTGGTATAATCGCGTTAAGTCGTAATCCTTATATACATCAGAAGAAACTACTCTTATATCATCAAGAGTTACGAAGGTTCAGTAATTATTTTTTTATGGCGGCCATCTTGGATTCGCCATATTGGAAAATTTTTGGTTCCGGTAGAACCTGATCAGGGTCCTTGACAATTTTTGTTTGAAAGGCATACACCCACCTCTGACGCTTTGGCCCGGCAGCTGGTGTCCTACCAGATGCAGATCACTTCTTGATGGTTTTGGATTATTCTGGTATTCAATATTTTCAGTCAAACACAATCCTTGTGCATTTATTTAACCCACCTCAATTCGTTCTAGGAGAACTATGATGTTGCATGGTGGAAAATGTATGGCGGCCATATTGGAAAATGGCGGAATCAAAAAACTACAAACACAATTTTGTATTACAGGACCTTATACACGGCCAGGTGCCAAATTTCAGCACGATCGGTGATTTTTCTCTGGCCGTCACACAGTGGGCCCAAATTGATAATTCTTGGACATAGGAACTTGTGGAATATCGAGCTAATTTTTTTTTATATGATAGATAATAACATTCCTAACAACTTTTATTCTTGTATAATTTCTTGAAAAGTTGATAGTTTCTGAGAAAAATAATATTTTTTTTTGTATGCCGTAATATACATTTTATTTTATTTTGAATTTAAATTAATTCTTGGACATAGGAACTTGTGGAATATCAAGCTAATTTTTTTTTAAATGATAGATAATAACATTCCTAACAACTTTTATTCTTGTATAATTTCTTGAAAAGTTGATAGTTTCTGAGAAAAATAATATTTTTTTTTGTATGCCGTAATATACATTTTATTTTTTATCTCAATGGCTCGCTGACAGCCTTTGTTGCCGTTCCGTCAATGTCGCAATAATATGCGGGGCGCGGTGTGGTATGTAAAGCTAGGGAGGGGCGGAGAATGATCTTTCTAGTTAGTTTTTTTATTCTCTGCCATGGTCAACAAAAATTTGCTTGTATTTACATTGCCCTGAGTAAATTGAGTTGTATTGTATTTAAAAAAATAATTAGCTCATTTAAAAAAATAAGACTGCCTACCACACGGAAGGAAATCATTTCTCTCTTTATTGCCTATCTTACTTACATCACTCTCAAAAATCTTCTGCAAATACCGTGCTGCGTCTTTAGCCATCACCATATCCTCAGGTTCGTCGAAAAAGTTGGGAAAGAAGAGAGGTGGGTCTAGAGGATTCGTTGACTTCAGTGTTAGATAGCCGATACTCCGAGGTAGGAGCAAGACTCCGTTGGCTCTGAAATTTTCATGCATTGCATAAACAAGGGAAATTAATAATAGCATACATTTTCACGGTATAATTATAATAAAAATGTGATACATGACCCATCAATTAACTAGTTTCAAACTAGAGAATGTTATGTACTATGGGTACCAGAGAAACGGAATTACATACGGGGTACTATCCACCACCAGAACTAACTTAGTCCAGTTCTCAAATTGGTACCAACAACCATACCACAAGGAGAGATATCGGATATTTATTGTTAAGTTAAAAATGTTACCCTATAACCCTATATTCACATTATACCCTATAATCACATTATACTCCGAGTTTAATTACCATTATAATAAATTACGACTAGTAACAATTCACACGCACCAAGCGTGTGAATTGTTACCAGTAATAAGATCACATATGCAAAATGATAACTTTTGAGGAAAGAAGATTCTACGAAAGAAATTACAGAGTTATAAAATTCCACATACATAATATGTTTCATGTAGTTCGTATAATTGTTATGATTTTCATGTGATACATGTGGCTTTATACCTACTAAGGGTACAAATTTAAAATTTCAAAAAATAAGATTGGGTGTGTAAGAAACTATAACAAACAGTTGATTTAATATTTGAAAGGAGTTACCTATTTTACGATGACGTGTGGCTTTATAATAATAATAATAATAATAACGCACATACTCATAGCCCCACACTAAGGAAACCCTGTGTCGCGAGTGCCATGGACACACATGCAGACAATCACAAATTACACCCAAACTCATGAGAGAAATAAATATAGGCCATGTAAAAATTTCTCTCGGCCCGGAAATCGAGCCCGGGATCTCTGCGTGGTAGATTAACATGGCGGCCGTTCAGCTACAGAGGCAGTTAAGTTGAAGTATTACACAAAAGATACGATTTTTTGTTAATTTACTAGTGAAGTTATTAAATTTATTAAACTGTTCTTCCAAATAACAAGGACAGTTTAAAGTTTAAATCAACTTACGAAATGTTTCGTCCGTTAAGGTAGCAGTCTCCGTCTCCAATAACCTCATCGATTTGGCCAGTTTTCGAGCACTCCGCGTAGAAGCCGTTGAAGAAAAATTGAAGGTCTGGCTGATCACGAGATCTGTCCGCTAGGCTCGAGTACAGGATTCCGGTTAACTGCACAATTAATACCATATTATACAAAAGAATAACTGGAAACTACCACAAAATAATGACATTTAACTTTTTAACTGCCTCGGTGGCTGAACGGTTACCACTGCCACGCGGAGGTCCCAGGTTCGATTCCCGGGCCGGGAGAAATATTTGTATGCCTTACATTTATTTCTCTCGTGAGTTTGGGTGTAATTTGTGGTTATCTATGTGTGTGTCCATGGCACCCGCGTGGTTTCCCTAGTGCGGGTCTATGTTGAGTGTGTGTGCGTGTGTGTGTTATTTATGTAATTAAGAATTCAAATGAAAATTAGCTTGGCGGTAGAAATAAGGTGACAGTACTTCCTTTGACGATCTCTTTCACAAGGAGCTCTACTGCTACTAAATTATTTATGTTCTCACATATTTATAACTCACCCAATTTCGATCGTAGAATATTTAAACCTCTCTCCTGAACAGTTGTCATTTTGCAGATGTGACCTTATTATACCAAGGGTGTGAATTATACAAATCTACTGTCTATTTCAACGCTTACCTGGGTTATGCCTGTACTAGACATTGGCCCATTTCTTTCCAGCATGTACTCCGTAAAGACAGACCAGTCCAGAATTTGGGTGTTGTTCATTTTAGTCACTAAGAAGTATAAGGTTAGGCCCACATGATTCCTCAAGTTCTTGCCAACGGGAAGATCAGCTATTAAAGGGATTTTGAATTTGTCTAGCGTCTCTTTTGGTCCGATGCCAGAGAGCAGCAAAATATGGGGGCTGTTTAGAGCACCTGCACTTAAAATTACCTAAAAATATAAATTTATTTTAATATAAAACGGCCTGGCAGTTGGTTTTTGTAGCAAATATCCACTTATTTAAAATATAAATTACAAATTTATTAAACATGTTTAAAATATATAATACTAAATACTTTGATGCGGTGTATTGAACATATAAAAATACGAGATATGGATATTGAGACATCATATTTTATAATTATAACATTTTTATAAAAAACCGATATCAAAAGTTTGTGGAATTACATCGATTTGTCAAATTTTATTGAAATGAAATGTGAAATGAAAACATGAGTGAAATTCAATAAAACGGGTTCATCCCCTAATTTGCCACCCTGTTTTCTTCAAATATGAACGAGACAAATACAAAATACTTATTTCATATTTGTATTTCAAACACGTATTTTCAATTTCCCATCGAGTATATAACCAGAAATAGAGACGAAATAAGGGCCATATATTCCTGGTAACACATTAGCGATACAGCTCTTATAAATATCAACTCCCGTTTGCAGTGAAATGTAGACAGGCCAATTACTGACCTGTGTGTACGTCTCCGTATATTCCAAAAAATATTTTATATTTATTGTAATAAAGATAATATCTCTAACAATGCCGTGCTGTTCTATTCGGTGGTGTGGGAAAGACAGCAAAACATCTAATTACAAAACAAACGGAATCACATTTCATCGGTAATTAAATATTAAATATGTAATTTTGCAATTATCGTCCATAATAGCAAAGCTCAAGTTCATTGGTCAATTTTAAGTGAAACAGTTGACGACATCCGTCAATTGTTGCGAACTCGGGCTAGCCAATCGTAGCATAGTTGCCACAGTAATGATATGGCAGAATAATTTTCAAACAAATGAAATGACATTTCGTCTCTATTTCTGGTTATATGCTCGATGCTACTTCCCAACCCTGCATACAGTAGTACCACGAACATAATGTTAGTTTGAATGTTTGTTTATTATGAATGCACTTGTAAGTTTAAATTGGATTCCGATAGATGGCGTCACAATGTTACCTTTTAGAGTTTGTTGTTAAAATGTTATTTGCATTACGCATAATGTTAGGTTAAATAACATTATTATTTATAAGATTATACTTAATAATTTAACTCCTGCTAATTTCTGTTTTTAAACATTTAATATGTAAGGTTTTGAAACGGTTTTCGATAATTGGCGCCACTAGCGGGAGCTCGCAAAAACATGCTTTACAATTTTTATGTAGTCTCTATGATACTTTGGAAGTTGGAATAGTGGAATCATTTTGATCGTAATAAAAGCTAAGTACCACATGTGCTTTTCCGGCAATTTGTTGCGTACAATGTATCATAGTAGGTAACGAAGTCACTTAAAGTAGGTACTAATCCTTATTTGACTTTTTGCCTCGCAGAAAATCGCGGGTCGTTTTACAAATACATAACAGTCAAATACGTATTACCTAGTAGTTTCTAAATTGCGCTTTCCCTTACCTCTTTACTAGCGGTGATAGTCTTTGTCTCGCCGTTTTCATTGATATACTCCACACCATAAGCGTTTTTGCCATCCAGTAGAACCCTAGTGACATGTGCGTTGGTCTTCACATTTAAGTTAGGACGTTCAGATTGTGGTTTCAGGTACGCTCTTGCTGTAGTTACTCTTTGACCGTCGCTGTGAAGGAATGTAGTTTTTTTTATTTTAATAACAGTACATTGTGTCATAAGAAGTAGGGCTTTAATTGCCCGAACGTCCGCCCGAATCATCACACTTGCGAGGAAGTTGAAGAAAAGAAAAGTTATACTATATAGTACATTACTGCAGAGGCCGTAAAGTAAGGGATTGCTTGATTGGATGGACGGTGGATCGACGAGTATGCGATGGTAACAAGCGTCAGCAAGGCTTTGTTCCCGCCAAAGCATATGTAGTGCTTTTCTCAAACAATGTGAGGAAATAATAAAAAACTAAAGAGAAAAAGATGTTTAACAGAAAAAGTTAAAAAAAATGTATTAATATTAAAGGTAATATTTGACATGTCAGGACATATTGCTATATTAATAAAAATTAATATTTAAAATTAATCGTATTTACCGCCTAGAGATGGGTTTTTACCCAATAAATATCTGTCTAAGGATAAATATCCGATAATATCCGTTTTTACTGAGTATTTATCCTAAAACATGGATAATTTATTTTGTGGTTTTTATAATAAAATTCATTAAGAAGCATTAGAATATTTTTTTATTAAATAATTACTTTTTTGTCATTCTTTTATGTAACAATACTGTTCTACCTACGTTTTTCGAGTCGAGTGGTATAAAAAATTCGATTGACAGAAAGTTATCAAATTAACTGTAACCCTTGAGCTGACCTATCATGCGTTAATAAAGTGCGACCCAACTTTCTGGTCTTGGGGTCTACTGCGTACTAAATAAAGTCAAATTTGGACTTGAAATAGCCTAAGGATTCTCTTTCACATTTCACACACAAAATCGATTAATTAACATGATATAAAAAATAAATTTTTATAATTGTGTAGGTACGGACAACGGCACATCAGCTACATATTTTTGTTCGACAATCGCCTCCAGTGCAACGGAACAAGATACGTCATTGTGTAGCTTGATGTACTTTGTGTGTGTACACAAAGTGTTTTAAAAATATACTTTGTTTTACTAAATATAAAGAATAAACCACGATTAAAAATAGGAAATGAAACTATTTTTCCGGATTTAAATCGCGTATATTTGTTTTTTTCAAACAAACCGACGTTTCGGGCCCTTTACAGGTCCCATGGTCACGGTTGACTGAGGTGGTACAGTCTTCAACCAGTTATGTCTAATATGATGCAAACCAACCTAATTTTGCACTATAGTTACAACACTTATTAATTAAATACATTATTTTTAATTTTACTTTTTAAATAGATAATCTAAAATGTTTAATCTTTTGAATTTATGTATAAGTAAGTCATGGCATTTATGAGTGTGTATTTTATAAAAACTGTAAATGAAATAAAGATGACTGTATTTATATTAGATTTTATAAATTAAATTACAAAATCCACACACGCGAACTTGGGGCTTTCAAGGCATTCGCACTCCGAGTGGGCGGCGGGAGAGTAGAAATAAAAGAAAAAACCATTACTGCTAACGACTTCAAATAGACTAGATAGATCGGCTTTATAAGTAGTAGAGTTTCTTGTAAAAGGAAAGAGTTCGGGAAATACTGCCACCTTACTTATTTCTGTCGCCAAGCGTGTTTCGCTTTTGAAGGCTAAGGGTGCTGGTGAAATTGCAGGCACGTGGGACTTGTCTACTTATGTCTAACTTAACGTAACTTTGCGATTTAACGCTCGCGAGTGGCACTGCAACTGTTATGGACAGGCGTGTAGCTTACCTTCAGGCGCATGACTTGTTCGTCCCGTACAAATAAAAAAATACGTTTCTTTATTTTTTTTACTACTGCCCTAGTGCTGTGCTTGTTGAACGTTATTTTATTGGGGCCTTACCATAAACTCTTATTACAGTTCAGTGTATAGGTTCGTAACGAGAAAAAAGCGGGATGGTGATATACACTTCATGTAGCGCCGTCTCACAACGATTCATAAGGCCCGTGTTTCATCTATCTTTACTGAAACATTGAAATAATATATTTGTGTATTGACAACACTTAGCCGCAACACCACTGATTTACCTAAGTACCCGAATGTTTTCAACTGTTTCCTTTTTAAACTTATAAATACTTACTACCTTCCGAAGGACGAACATTTCACGATTCTTCAAAAAAATAATATCGGAAGATGAAGCTTTAAAGAGCTGCTACTTACTCTGACATGGTCTGGGCAATCACGAACCCGTCAGGGGTGTATGGGTCGTTCATATCGGACAGCACCGGCAGACCGGTCTCGTTTATGGCGTTAAGAATCTCGTAGAGGAAGTGTGGCTGTTCGTTAAACTGTGAAGAAGTGGAAATTGGTTTTCAGGTGTCGTTAAAAATAGTCTTTTGTTGTTTAAAATTATTATAAATAAGTATTTTTCTCAATAAGTAATTTAATTAGCCTACAATTGACGAGCTCCGGTGGTCGAGTGGATTGTACACCGGTTTTCATAGTGTCGCCATCTCTAAGGCCCCGAGTTCGATCTCTGGCCGGGTCACTATAGAAAAATTATTTTTTCTGGTTCTATTAGTAGTCCGAAACGACATTTTCACATCGAGAGTTTTCAAAAATTATAAAAAAATTTCGACTTTGTGATAGGTTATCAATTTTTCTATATTGTCTCCGGTCTGGGTGTTTTGGTACCATCGTTGTTTCGGTTTCGGTTCGAATCCGACCGGATCGAAGGAATTTTTTCTGAGTGTTTTTTCTGAGTGTTCGATCTTTGTATTAATAATTATAACAAACTAGTGGAGTAATTTCACAAAAAATAATTGAATACCAATTCAATAAAAAAAATTTAATTAATACAGGTACTTTAGTTACTTACTTTGGGATCAGAGCAACGTATACAATGTTGTCTAATTATTTACAATTTAACTTTAGTACTTCAGTAGCTGTAGAGCTCCTTGTGAAAGAGTTCGTCCAGGGAAGTACTGCCACCTTACCTATTTCTGTAGCCAAGCAGTAATGTGAGCATTTCTGCGTTCCAGTTTCGAAGAGTACGTGTGCTGGTGCAATTACAGGCACTCAGGACTTGTCAACTTAAGTCTTAGAGTGACGGGCGCATGGCAGTGCCTCTCAGATCTTGGCTATTTAAAGCTCTAAGTGGCATTGCAACTTTTTTTATAATACCAAGTGACGGGACGAACAAGTCGTGCGCCTGGTGAGACGCGGCACGCCTATCCGTAACAGCTGCAATGCCTCTCAGAACTTTAAATCGCAAAGATCTTAGGGGCACTGCCGCTGCGCCCGTCACACTGAGACGTAAGTTGACAAGTCCCATGTGCCTGTAATTTCACCACCACCCTTACCCTTCGAAACCGTAACACAGTATTGCTCACACTACTGCTTGGCAGCAGAAATAGGTAAGGTGGCAGTACTTCCCTGGACGAACTCTTTCACAAGGAGCTCTACTGCTTTGAAATTGTTATGGATGGGCGTGTAGCTTACCACCAGTCGCACGACTTGTTCGTCCCGTCGCTTTGTATTACATAGGTAAAAATAAACGAAGTCGCGGGCAACAGCTAATTGTAGATAAAACTGGCAATATCAGGAAAAGTTTTAAATTTATTGACGTAACATTAACTACCTGTTGTATCGGCAAAGTACCATTACTGGAATGGTAGCTGGCGTTAACCAATGTTCCAACTTGTTTGTTGCCTTCAGTCATATAGAAATACTTCTTATTCTCTTCCCAAGACCATCCTACGGCGCCTGCTTTTACCCAGTCTTCGTAGTCTGGAGCGTGTCCTCGATGGTACATCATACCATTAAGGAGGTTTGAACCACCTGTGGGGTAATGTAAGATAAGTAAAAAGTGCATTTAAATGTACCTAATATTAATTTTCATTACACTTGCACGTAAATAGGCATGCAGGCTAACTTGACTGTAATGCCCGAAATAAAACTCTCGGGGCTTTTTTCTTCTCATTACCGACCAATGCTGTAATAATGTGATTATTTTTATTTATACATACTAAGTACTTAATTATCCATTTATATACGAGAATACATCGTCGGTGTTTTGTAGAAAAGGCGTAAGCGACATTTCGAATAAAAAATTCAGGTAAGTTTCAACGAATGTTTTAAAATATTTACGTCCTGTTTTCAAATTCAATTTTGATTTTAAATAA